GCAATGCTTCTCTTTGGACTATCCATACAAAATACAGAGCATAAGTACGATTTAGCTATCTAGCCACAAGGTGACACTGTTTCACATAAATCTATGGAAAGGGCATTTCTCTGGATGTAAATAGCACACACTACCTTTCTGATTAAATCAGGTTTTTAAAAGTACATTATAATCCATTGAGCCATGTCTACCAAGTACTGTATATTTACCATTAACTATTCCATTCCCTATGCAGCATTGTAATGTACTGTAATCATTTTATGTCTCTAAAGTAGGTACTATAAAGCTGCAAGGAAAGCTATTATAAAAAATGTTGCCTGCACATTTTTCCATGGTGGGAAGCCAGGAGCATGATGAATGAGGCCATGGTATCACAGTTCTTTCTGGTTTCCATAGAGAGCTGCCACCATGTACTGTACTATGGCAGCCTTTGTAAAACCACAAATATTCTTTTTGAGTTGAGCAAAGAAAAGTGAGACAGAAAAACAAGAGTGCTCGCTTGGACTCTAGATGGGCGAGTGAGCGAGTGGCTGAAATGAAATGGAAGTTTAAAAAGCAATGGTGACTGCTGTCCACAGTATCCAGGGGTCCCAAAAGAGGAAGAATCAGGAAATTTGGGTTCTATTCCTAAGGCTGCTACTAGCCTCAGTTTTCCTATCTGTATAGTCAGAATGATACCAGTCCAGGTACAAGAACTGCTTGGAATTTTCAAATGAAAATGCTTAGCACTCCAAATTGCAAAGGAAAAACAAAAACAAACAGAAAACCCTGACCAAACCAGCGATTTAATTCTCTTTGCAAAGCCCCCATAATTGTTTGATTTTCTTCAAATGACTTGGGAGGGGATGAGAGAACTTTTCTCAATTGTTTCAGAGGGGTAGCCTTATCAGTCTGTAACTGGAAACACTTAAAAAAGACAAATAGTCTTGCAGCACCTTAGAGACTAACAAAAAATGCCAGCAAAAGCTCATGATACGATCTACATTTTCTGTTGGTCTCTAAGGTGCTGCAAGACTATTTGTTGTTTTCTCAATTGTGTTAGATCAATTGAGTCAGGTTAACATAACTGAAAACCCTTCTCTCTCCTCCCTCCCCCCCTCGTAGACACAAGTGACGCTTCTGAAGTCAGGGTAGCTAATCACAGGTTCATCCTAGGCTCCCCATTATTCCAAGCCAGTGGTGCACAAGCCTCTGCCTATTGGTGCCTCCAACCCACTGGGGTGTTTCTTGTGGCTCCTCACTTTCTGCAGAATGTATGCTATAAAAGTATTCAGTTTGAACCAATGCAGACCTGCCTTAGAGCCAGACAGTGCCATCCTCTCCTATCCTGAGAACTATCTTGCTTTTTAAGGTGTCATCGTCATGAATCAGAGGATCAGAATCTTGCCTACTGTGAGTTTGTTTGTAGAGAGTTAGCTTGAAACTATTGCTTTGAGAATTGTGAACTGACCCTGATTCATCTCAGTGTATTGATAACTCTGAAGCCTAATGATGTTGGTGTATATGTCAATATTCTTCATTAATAATTAAGTGAAAATCCAATTGACATGAATAGCCACTAGGGTTTGATATAAAAATTATATAAATAACAGAAAAGATAAAAAAAAGACATTAGATGAATGATTAATGTCTTTAAAATAAATCTTACTTGATGCTTTCTGTAAAGGATACGTGTACTGACAAAACTGAGTTAGAAAGAGCAGAAAGGTACAATGTTTCATAGCTAAATTCTGCAACGAGAGCAGCAGGAGCTTGTAAGAGGCTAAAATACTAGCAAATTTCAACTGAGCTGTCTTATTTTTAAAAACACTACCAAGCACATGCTGGATCAAAAATGCAGAACTTTATTCTTTAGTCTTTAAGGGTAAGATTGCTTGTGAGAATTACTTATGTGAGTAAGGGTTCTAGGATCATACCTAAATTTTAAATTGAGTATATATGAGATATAAGAACAAAGAAAAATATATTAGACCTCTATTTTTTCCATTTCCAGAATTCACAATGAATAAAGAAGATTCCTTTTTGAGGGTTTTTTTCTGTACATGTGTCCATTCTGATTATTCACAAAAGAATTACGCTGTTAAGAAATTTATATCAAAGATATAATTATCCCTTGGAAAAACAGAGTTTTGTAATGAAAATGTTAATATCTTAAAGTGAGACTGTCAGGCCAATTTAGCCTAACCTAAAAGTTGTTAGACATTTGATGGGGAATGTTTTCTGAATTCTAAATATTTGTTAGATTAAAAAATAAGATTAGCTTATTCCCGCAATTGTTATAGTCCCTCCTACAGAAGCATCCAGGGCTGGCCCTACCATGAAGCGAACTGAGGCAGCTGCCTCAGGTGCCAGATTGTGGGAGGGCGCCACTAGGACCCAGAGTGTAGACAATTGTGTCTGCTGCTGGTGCATATGTAGGTAGCAGAGCAGTCCCATGAGAGGAGTAGAACAGGAAGAAGGCAGAATTGAGACCTTTCAAAGTTTTGGCCCAAACGAGGGGACATGGGGGCGTCATTTGAGCTCCCTTCCTCAGGAGCCAAAATGTTGTGGGTGGGCCCTGGAAGCATCTAACAAACAGATCATTTTTTTGGTGACCTTGGCATCATAATAAAGAGTGTTTGAGTCTGTATGTGTATGTTCCTCTTCTCAATATTTTTAGCAGATTTTATGTCACTCTGGGGTCTTGAATTTTAAATGTTAATATATATATTTGTATTGTGTTTAAAAAATTTTGTAAGCTGCCTCGAATATTTTAAAATATGGGGTAAAAATATTTAATTAATTAAACAATTAAATAAATACATACATACATACATAAAAAATTGAAGATAATGTTGTCTTTGTTGGACAGGAAGAAAACTCTGTTAATTTTAGTTGTGTTCACAAGAAAATTCAGTAGTTGCTTAATAGGAATTGAGGGACTTTTTTCAGTTATTATTTTCACTGCAGTTGACTGGCAAACATTAAAAGGTACTGTATTTATAGATATGGTCAGGTTCAAAACTATTGCTTACATGATCGAACAAAGGAAAAATGTGAGCTGTGCTTTATGTTTTATTTAATGATACCAGGATACTTTTACAATGAATTAATCAAAGGAAGAAAAAACTTTTAATGGAACACAGAAAACTGAGACTGGCATAATCCGTTCATGATTATATTTCCTCTAAAAGCGATAAGGAATTCAGGGAAGAGCAACAGAAATGATAAAAGGGCTGCAGGGAGTGATTTATCAGGAAAGATAAAAAGAACTATGATATGATTTGGAAAACCAATAGCTACACTGATAGATATTACAATGATAGGCCTTTCTAATGTACACAGTGCCTAAATTGAGAACCTGCACGGGAAAGGGAACTAAGTACTCACCACAAGTTTAGCTGAAGGAGAGAGATGGGGAAGGGACCATAACAAGGAGTAACAGGATGAATTTAAAAGATTTAAACTATGCAAATTTCCTTACCAAAAGGAAAGAGGCTATAGCTTGGAAGGCTGATCTGCAGAAAACATTGGACATTACAGGAATCAATTCTGCATTGAATTTAAGGAAGTGGGCTGGCTCGGACCCCCCTCCCAAAGGAGATGGGCTACTCCCAGAAGGGATCAAATAGATAGGGACCTGCTAGGGAAATAAGAGAGCTGGGGTTACAAGGGAAGTGCCAAAGAGGGTAGGCTGTCTGAATCCCAGGGAATTGGGGTAGAGTGGGAATCCAAACTGGGGGGGGGAGGGGGGGAATGCTGGCTGGAGCCCTTTGGAATAGGATGGCTAGATCCCAGGACCATGGGCCACAGGGCCATGAGGTTCAGAGGAATAGGCTGTGTGGGTCCTAGGGTAATGGGGTCCCAGAGAAATCTTACATGAACCCTGGGGAGCCAGACCTCAGGGTAATGGCTTAGATGGGATCCTGGAGGGATAGGGCTCACTGGATCCCCCCAAAAGCAGTCATAGGCACTTTAAAAGCACTTTAAAGACTTATTAGGTGATGAACTTTCATGGGGCAGACCCAAAGGCATGGGTTCCTGGGGATTTGGGGGGGGGGGATGGGCCAGAGGAGGCACCAGGGGTATGCAGGGCTGGGCTGACTGGAATCTTCAGCCTTGGGGCCCTTGGTGGCTGGCTGGGCTGGCTTTCCACTCAGGCAATGGGGTAGAATGGAGTTGGGAGGGGGAGGATTGTGCTGGAAGAACCCCAGGGAGATGGGCTTGCAGGGAATGGGTATCAGTAGGAACGGGCTCGCTGGGTCATAAATCCCAGGGCCACTAACAGGGGCAGGGAAAAGGGGGCAGTTGACCCAAGGCCCAGCGATTTAAATGGGCCCAGAGAGATGGGTTGGAAGGGATAGGGGGATGAAGAAACTGGGGAGGATATGCTGGCTGGAGCCCTTGGGAATAGGATGGCTAGATCCCAGGACCATGGACCACAGGGCCATGAGGTTCAGAGGAATAGGCTGCGTAGGTCCTAGGGTAATGGGGTCCCAGGGACAGGTTACATGAACCCTGGGGAGCCAGACTGGTTGGGTTCCATGGCGATGGGCTACTTGGGCTAGGCTGGTTTAATCTCAGGGTGATGGGCCTCCAGGGCTGGGCTGGCTGAGGCCCTGGACAGATAGGCTGGCTGGATCCAGCAGTGCTGGAATTAAGGGTTTTCAGGGTGCTTGGCACCCCCAGGCCTGTAGCAGTAGTAATAAACACCAAAAACAAATGCCAAATTCCATCATCAGCACCCCCACTATAAAATCTGTTCCAGCAGCCCTGGCTGGATCCCAGGCCATAGGTCCCAGGGAGCTGGGCTGGCTGGGGCCAGGCTGACTGGATCTCAGGGTGATGGGCCCCAGGACGATGGTCTGGCTGGATCCCAGAGTAATGGGTCCTGGGCAGGATGGGCTGGCTGGATCCCAGGGCGCTGGCCCCTGGGACTGGAGGGGGAGCGTTACTTGGGCCCCGGGCTGGCTGGGCCCCTCCCTCGCCTCCGCTCTGCTCCCGCCGCCCTTGTCACTTACCCGCAGGTCCCCTCCAGCGGCCCCGCTCCCTGCTGCTGCTGCTGCTTCCGCCGCCCTCGAGTCCCAGCCGTGGCCGGTCCAGGAGTCCCCGGCGGGCCCTCGAGGGGGCGGGCCCTGGATGGGGGCAGCCGAGCCCCGGGCCGTGGGGAGCAGCGCGTCCGGCTCCTCGCACTCAGCCAACACCGCCTCCAGCAGCTCCCAGTCCGAGTCCTCCGCCTCCGCGCCCGGCCGCCGCAGGCTGCTGCTAGGCAGCTTCGTGGGGGCGGGCGCCGGGCCGCCACTGGCCTCCCCGCCCTGGCCGCTGGGGGCGCTGCTGCCCCTGCCCCCTGCGGGGCGATGCGCGCCCGGGCTGCAGCCCCGCTTCCTCCTGCTGCTGCCGCTGCCCATACTGCTACTGCTACTGCCGGGCGGCGCTGCGGGGCCTCCTCACGGGGCGCCTAGTCCGGCGGGATTCCTCGGCCCAGCTGCTGCCGCCGGCTCAGAGCATCCTGGCTGCTGCTGGGGCAGGAGAGGCTGATCCCGGATCCCCTATGTCCCCTCCTTGCCTCGCCTTGTTCGCCTTGCGGGGCCCAAAGAAAAGCACTTGCTTTAGAAGAGAAGCGACGGGCTCCTCCAGGGGAAGATCCAGCAGCGGCAGCCAGTGAGCACCAAGGCAGCAACCAGCGAACCTGCCTCCCCCAGCAGCAAGGAAGGGAAATCGGCTGTTGGGACGCTGCGAATCCCAAGAATTTACCCTCGAGAAGGAACCAGCTGGGTGTAACCTCGCCGTGAATGTCAGTGCGTGTGTGTGTGAACATGGAGCCAGTTCAAAAGTAGCCTGGAAAAAAAAATCTTCAAAAAAGGAAATACCAGGAAGCAGTGCTCACAACTTTAATCTGCTGTTGGGTTTAGTCGGTGGAAACTATGACAAATAAACATGGATTTTTTTTTTGTGAGCCTGGACTATAAAGTGGAAGGAGAGAAGAACTCAGAGCAAAAACTTTAGATTCAAACTTCAGCGTAGTCCAGAGAAATACAGCCCTTTCCTCTCTCACTTCCTCCCCCTAGCACTATGTTTTCATATTCTCTCATGCTGTGACATTCAAATTCAGTTCATTTAAGGGCAGGACAACAGTCAAGCTATTTATACAACATATTTGGACTCTTGCACATAACTAAGGCCCTGATTAGAATAAATGCAGAATAATTATGGATTTTGGACTACAGGAAATGTTCTTTCAAAACTGCTCTTTCTAAAATATGCATCAGATAGTTACCAAAAAGCCAAACAGGCTGAGAAAATAAGATCACACAGGAACTCATGAAAAGAATGTATGTTACAAATCAAAATATGCATTGATCCTTGGTTCACATTTCTCAAGGGGACAATACATTACTTCATATTATGTCCTTTTTATTATGTGCTGTAGTTCACACCCCAGATGCAGGAAATGTAGCCAAAAACTCATACTTTGGCTTCATGTGGCTGTTCTGGATCTCCAGATGTGAAGTGTACAGGCTAGTCATACAAATTCTTTTTAAGCCTGGAAACCCGTAAGAAACAGACTATTATGGAAAATGATTTTCAGTGGTAGCTCCCCTGAACTGGTATAAAAAAAATGGCATATACTGCACAAAACAATGTTTAATCCTGTTACAAACTGGCCCTGTCCTCACTTTTGGATGGACACTACTCCAGATCCAAATCCTGCTCCACATACTTCTACGACCTGTGTCTGGTTAGTGATTGATATGGTTCCCAGTTCTGGTTCTTTCAGGCATATTCTCAGGAGCACGCTGCAGCTATGTCTACACTTGTGCAAGGGTTCTTGTGCAAGAAGTCTTGCACAAGAACACGTCCACACTGCCATGTGCGAGCTGTGCTTTTGCGCAAGAGCACGCATGGCTGTGTGGACGCTCTCTTGCACAAGAAAGCTCCAATGGCCATTTTAGCCATAGGGCTTTCTTGCGCAAGAAATCCCTGCTGAGTGTCCACAGTCCCCTCTTGTGCAAGAGCTCCTGCGCAAGAGGGCTTACGCCTGATAAAAAAGAGCGTAGCGCTTGCGCAAGAAGCCCTCTCTTACCACGCCGTACTGTACATTTTCTTGCGTAAGAACGGCTGTACTTGCACAAGAAGCTGCGAGTGTAGACATAGCCTGCATGTTTGATACCCCTTAGTGTAGTGGGATCCCATGGTTCAGCTACCTCTGTCCTGGCCAATAATCTAGCCTTCCTGAGTGCTCAGTTACTTAGATATGTTCCCTTCCTGTGATCACCTGGCTCTGGGAACTCTGTTTTCTAGTTAAACTCTTCAGGGACATCATGGAAGGAAAACCAGGGGAAACAGGATTAGCAAAGGAATTTCTTAACCACAGACAGTTTACTCTTAGGGCACATCTACACAGCAGGGCTAAAGACAAAATAAGTTACTCAACTTCAGCTATGTCAATTATGTAGCTTAAGTCAAAACAGTTTAATTTGGCATAGCAAGAAGTTCGCAGTAGATCACTCTTCCTCTGACTTCCCTTACTCTTCGTACAATGAGGGTTACAGGAGTTGGAGTAAGAAATCCTCTAGCTCACCATTATTTTGACATTGTCGACATTACGTCGAAATAACTGCTGGTAGTGTAGATGAAGACTGTGTTATTTCAGGATAACGTCCATGGTTTCCCATGTAGCAGCTCTTTGGTGGTAGGTGAAAGCTCTCACATCAACATAAATAAACTGCTCCCTGGTGAGCTGTTCATCAGTGCTTCTGTTGGTGAAACTTATGTATGTCAAGAGTGTGTTTTTTCACACCTCTGACAGAGAACAGTTTTACCAACGGAAGTGCTAGTGTAGACATATCCTTAATAAAACACACAAGAGAGCTATAGAATCTTTGCAAAACAACAAAATCCAGAACTCATCCTGCTTAGGCTGATCTGCCCCTTCTTGTGACTCCTGGGTTGAGTCAGTGTCTTTAGGCTAGGCAGCCTTTCCTACCTTTTCTCTCCTTAGCCTGATCTTCTTGCATGTGCTAATACTCTGACCCCTTGCTCGAGGATGAACCCACTTTATAAAACACTGTTCTTTTTTTGTCCATGTGCATCAGCTAGGGCTATTCCAGGCTCCAGCCCTGTTTCCCCACCAATCGGCTTCTGTGGCAAGAGTAATTCTAAGTTAGGAGTCTACCAGGAGAAAGCGAAATGCTTCAGTAGAGAAGAGCCATTCAGTATTGATAGCTCCCTTACTGTTATCTTGGGGATGTTCCACAACCAAAGGAGATCAGGACAGTGTCTAGAATAGGTTGATCTTGTCAGGATCAAATTGGTTTTCAACACAAACAAGATGTCTTAATCCAATTTAGAGATTGGAATACCAAGTGTGAATGTCACTCTGTTCTTCAATCAAAAATGGGATTCATAAAACCAAAGTAGAATTCACAATTTGGTCCAGACACAACAACAAACTGTCACAAATCCTATTTACGAAAGACTGGTAGTGGAACTTTCAGGAAAACTGTTGTAGTGAAACAGATTTACCCCCAGCAAAATCCTATTATGGGAAACCAATAAGTAACATTCATTATTTAAAGGAAAAATCCATATGTTTATTATTATTTATTATTATTCCAGTAGCACCTACCTGCACCAAACAGGATTACAGATCATTGTGTTGGGCAGTTTATAACTACAGAATAAAAGCTGATCCCTGCCCTGACAAGTAGTCTAATTAGACAACACGTACAACCATACACTTCATAACACATACACTTCATAACACAAACGTAAGCATCCAAGCAGTATCAGCAATGTAGATTGATGGATTCCTTCCTGCATAGGAACCCTTTTATAACCAGGTAGATGTTTAATTACTGAAAACTTTAAATTAGTTTTCACTACTGCTGTTAGTACCTTCACCTATGGGTACTATGATACCATCTACATTTTTTGTTAATCTCTGTGATGCTGCAGGACCATTCGTTGTTTTTTTTAGTTTGTCCACCCATATACAGTACTTTAATGTGGAGGAGAACTGAAGAAGGGAGATCAGTCTAAATAGAAAGCAGTGTAATTTGGAATGTCTGCTGGTGTAGCAGGGAACATAAAAAGAGAAAAAAAATCAGTAATGGAAGAGTTGAGCCTAATGATGAAACCTCTTATAATTAAATTTGATTTGTTTCTACAATCTTTATGTAACTGACACTCCAAAAGAATTTCATTGAAATTATCCACTGCATGTGAGCTCAGAAATAATAAACTCTAAGGCTGTGTCTACACTGCACCCCTTTTCCGGAAAAGGGATGCAGATTAGACACTTTGGAATTGCAAATCCGCGGGGGATTTAAATATCCCCCGCGGCATTTGCATTTACATGGCTGCCACTTTTTTCCAGCTCGGGGTTTTTGCTGGAGAAAAGCGCCAGTCTAGACGCGATTTTCCGGAAAATAAGCCCTTTTCCGGAGGATCCCTTATTCCTACTTGAAAGAGATCCTCCGGAAAAGGGCTTATTTTCCAGAAAATCGCGTCTAGACTGGCGCTTTTCTCCAGCAAAAACACCGAACCCGAA